CAGATGCCACCGTACACTTTCACATGTGCAAACAAGCAAGCATATGTGCATAAATAAACACGTCACATGTTGAAAACATAACTGCTGTTCAAACTGGATGCATGGGAACAATGTTGCATGTATAACGGTGGCAGGTTTCATGGTTGATAATGACCACATTACATCTATCTGTTTTCAGCCTCCTCTTCAATGCACAGTCTTTCATAGACGTGTCTAGTTTTTCAAAGAGTTTTTGGAGCTTAGAAGTATTATTAGTGTCTCCTTTTGTCTGGCTGATAGAAAATGAGGAGGCAGCCTCAGACGTCGAGGCATACATTATGTGTCTAGCTTTTAATTAGCAAACTGTATCAGAAAATCACTCCTATTGATCTCAATACACCAGTGACTTTGTTTGTATCTGCATTTTTTCAGCAAAGGAGTAAAAACTTATAGAATTTCTATTAATTATCACTTTTCTCTCTCCCCCAAAATGATGTATTACCCTTTAATGCGAACATTAGCATACCTGAAAACTCAATATTTATTCTATTAATGCCTAATTCTAATCCACTTTTTCAATTTTTTCTGTGTCTTTTAATCTGTTACTATTTGCGGTAAACATAAAACTAAAAGACCCAAGTGGCCTCCTCCTGTCTTTAATCAATATTTCTCAAACAACTACTACATCTCATAAATCAACACATATGAAACTCAATTAATGATTTAATAAAAGCTCATTCTAAAACATTAATATTTATCACTTTGTGCAGAGTATCATTATCAAGGGAACTGGCAGAGACAGGTTGACAACAATGACTAACATACATGTTATGCAATTAAATGTAACTTTATGTTATTTAATCAAATTGTTTTCTAACTGTCATGATGTTCTGTGAACACATGCCCAGCTCAACAGATAAACATGGGATTCAAGCTGATGTCTGGGTTAAATAGGTAAATATGCACTCATGAAATACACAACAAATTTCAATCAAAAGGTAAGAAGTTATCAACAAAAATCACTTAACTTCAATTCAAACATATTTCAGTTCAATACACTTGACTTAAATAGTGATATTAAATAAACTAGTCATAAGCTACTACGTATAAGGATGCGGGAACCACCCATCACTGGCACTCTGGTTGAGTGAGAAACACAGGTAAGTGATGAAAGATCCATGTCAGTCACTTGCCTGGTTTAACAGTTCAGTCTACCCTTTCAGAAAGCGGCAGGATCCAGCCGATGGACTGACAAATGAGATGCGGCGAGAGCTGCCCAGAGTGTCCCTAATGCAGCAGTGTCTGTGAACAGGCAGGAGCCCGAGCCAGGTCTGGGAAAAAGTCCAGAACAAGGATGGTTCTGAGATCCAGGAGTCTGTAGCCTGGTCAGGGGTTCCGATCAGAGCAGGAATAGACAAGTCCAGGTTTCACGATTCCAGCAGAGTTCAGGCAGACACGCTCAGATGGAAACAGGCAGGCTCAGCAGTTGAGAGGCAGATCAGGACATGACACCAGGAAAACCAAGGAACTTTGAACTGGCTCCCTCCACTGAGCAAAACAGGAACCAGGAACAGTTAGCGGACAAGAGCCAGGACAGGAAACGCCAAGACTAAACTAAACAACCGTCTCTAACAACTGGCCTCAGAGAAAAAAAACATAAAGTAGGGAAAAACGCAAACAAAACTCAAACAATGATCTGGTCCTGGTATATAAAGCAACAGCAGCAGGTGGATAAGATGCATGATAATTAGTGACCAGGAAGGGTTAGGCAGGTGAGTGAAGAGAGCATTTAAGCAATCATGACAGTATATTTAGAAGGAAAGAAAAATGGAAATATCTGAAAACCATAATTAATAAAAGGATGGTATAACATCCCAGTTATAGCATGATCTTATTTTTCAGAACCAAATTTTATGTGAACAGGTAAAATAATATTTTATTAAAGTAGTGTTTAGAAAATTAATTCTTAACCTCCCTTAATTATTACTGGGGGAATATTAGCTTGAGGGACCCCTTTGGAATCTTAACCTGAGTTTGGTTTGTTAAGACAATGGAGCTATTAGCTAGCAAACAAAAGGAGAGTTGTTTCAAAGGACCCTGTGGTCATATTTAAGGTCCATCCATCCATCTTTTTAGTTTTATCCGTCAGGTTGGCAGTCTATCGCATGGAGACACAGAGACACAAGACAATGCTCATATACATTCACACCTAAGTACAATTTAGAGAAAACAATAACTGGTAGATCAACCCATAGATATCCATAATAAAGGCTAGATGTCTTACGGCGGAGTCTCAAACGTCATCACCGGCGGCCATCTTGCCTCAGGCAGGCTTTCTGTTGTGCTCTGTGGTACCTAATGTAAGGTGGGTGATCAGCACGAACACAAATACTCTTACCTCACTGAATTCTTGACGGATTTACAAACAGTTTGGTTTCTTACAAACATTATGAACGTGGCTATTATTCTTGATGCTTGAACATGTCGAAATTGCAGATTTTCTTGTCGAAAAATGACTTAATCGCGCAGCATAGTTGTGCATCACGGCTACTTGCGCAAGTTATCAAGGCTGAGATTATTAGTCAATAGGCTCTATGCACAGCTCCACTACTTCCTGAATTTAATGCAGCTTCTTTGTTTCCTGTCTTTCATGATTGGATGCACTGATTAATCCAGGTGTGTATGACCTAAGTAACTGGCCAGACACACCTGGATTAATCAGTTCGTCCAGTAATGAAAGACAGGAAACAAAGGAGCTGCCTTAAATTCAGGAAGTAGTGGAGCTGTGCATAGAGCCCATTATATAGGTTTTACTGACACCAATAACGATTGTATGACAATTAATCTTTGGTGTAAATTACAATCTTTGTGGATGTGGTTGTAGTTATTAGTTGTCTAATAACAATAATCTGAGTGTTGTTGTATTTTCATTATTAGCCTAACGTTAGCTGGCTAATAACAAGAAGCTGCAAAGTGAGACCTAACGTTAGTAAGTTAGCAGCTAACGTTACAGTTTAGCTAGCTGCTAACGTTAACAAGCAACTTTACATCAGTGGAAGAGGCAGAATTTAACAGGATTTCCAATCGATTTGGTCTGTCAACACATCTTACATTATGTTACAGGAATTTCCTGGGTTTATTAAAAGGAAGATGCCAGACTTTTGCTATGACATAATAGTATTACAAGACTGTTGTTGACTCAAAGCTTTTATAAGTTTGTATTAGTTTCATTTGGACAACTTAAAGATGGTGTTGTGCCAAACATTTTCAACTTTCCAGCTCATCTTCAAAGGGCATGTGTATCATTGAAATTGAATCACATATTGATATACCAATCTTATACACCGTGAATTGTTGTTGGTCACTTTTGTTTTTGTTTCTGCAGGTTATATAATGTGTAAGCAGGAGGAGAAGATCTTCCATCCCTGTTTGCTGACATTCCTGCACTAGTACATGACCACAGCTACCTTCCTGTCCGCTTTGATGGCCTTGTGGACAACGCTCTCTTGTACATTACACAGAAGCTCAATAAAACCTTCCTTTTCAAAGGGCATTAGCCAAGCTATGTTTTTTGGGTCATTTTTTAAATCTCTGTCTTCCATGTGTATACCATCACAGTAGTGTAGGTGGGGATTTCAACATGCTACATCTATATATACTTGTGAAGGGGACTATTGTACCAATTTTAATAGCAAATAAATGTCACTTTTATAATGGTTTAAAAATAGGAACTTTTGTGTAATTACCTGTGACGGAGGAGCCGTCATCAGCTGGGACTTAGGAATAAGTCAGTGTCAGCATGCGCACAAACATATACAGGTGCTGGTCATAAAATTAGAATATCATGAAAAAGTAGATTGATTTCAGTAATTCCATTTAAAAAGTGAAACTTGTATATTATATTCATACATTACATACAAACTCATATATTTCAGATGTTTATTTTGTTTAATTTTGATGATTACAAATGACAACAAATGAAAATCTCAAATTCATCATATCAGAAAATTAGAATATTACTGAAGACCAATAAAAACAAAGGATTTATAGAAATGTTGGCCAACTGAAAAGTATGAACATGAAAAGTATGAGCATGTACAGCACTCAGTATTTAGTTGGGCCTCCTTTGGCCTGTATTACTGCAGCAATGCGGCGTGGCATGGAGTCGATCAGTCTGTGGCACTGCTCAGGTGTTATGATAGCCCAGGTTGCTCTAATAGTGGCTTTTAGCTCTTCTGAATTGTTGGGTCTGGTGTATTGCATCTTCTTCTTCACAATACTCCATAGATTTTCTATGGGGTTAAGGTCAGGAGAGTTTGCTGGCCAATTAAGAACAGGGATACCATGGTCCTTCAACCAGGTACTGGTAGCTTTGGCACTGTGTGCAGGTGCCAAGTCCTGTTGGAAAATGAAATCTGCATCTCCAAAAAGTTGGTCAGCTGCAGGAAGCATGAAGTGCTCTAAAACTTCCTGGTATGTGGCTGCGTTGACCCTGGACCTCAGAAAACACAATGGACCAACACCAGCAGATGACATGGCACCCCAAACCATCACTGACTGTGGAAACTTTACACTGGACTTCAAGCAACGTGGATGAAGTGCCTCTCTTCTTTTCCTCCAGACTCTGGGACCTTGATTTCCAAAGGAAATGCAAAATTTACTTTCATCAGAGAACATGACTTTGGACCACTCACCAGCAGTCCAGTCCTGTTTCTCTTTAGCCCAGGCAAGACGCTTATGCTGCCCTCACGATGTGTTGCTCTTACAAAGCTAGACAGCTAGCTAACACTTGGCTTGAAAATAATCCAGTCCTTAGTAGTTTTCTTGTTTTATTTTGCAACTCTTTGGCTGGTTTGTTTTCTTTTCATTACTTTTCTTTGTAAAACTATAACAAGACACAAAAGTATACATCAAATACAGATACAGAAAACAACTAGGCTACAGCAAACAAATAACTCCCAACTCAAACCAACTAGCTAACGATGTAGCTCTAAATACTGATTGAGAAACTTAAACTTTCCCACAAAATATTCCACAATACCAGAATGACAACAGATGAAATGAACTTACAGACAAATAGTGTCCAAGGAACAAACGTGTCCAAAGTCGTCTGAAGGGCTAGTGAAAACAGCAACCGTGCAGCTGGAAGAGCTCTGCTTGACTGCCCAAAATTCCACATGCAAACTGTGTCCACTAGATGTCAGCAAAGCTCCAAATTTTAACCAACAATTTCCCATGCAATTCTTAACAAACATAATGACAGAGTCAGCACACTCCCCGCTTGGCAAAATATGATTTTGACACCATAGTTACAGAAAACTCAATCAGTCCATCTTCAAAGGCCTTCAGAAAGCAGAACAATAACTTCTGAGACAGGTCTGTGGAAAACCTTGACTTGTCCTCCTTTTGTTGTCTTCACTTCTACCTTGCGTACAATCTTGTCACTGCTTGGTAAAGTTTTCACAATAATTCCAATGGGCCAATCGTTCCTGTGGGCTTGATTGTCTTTAAGCAAGACAACATCTCCCACCTTTATGTTTTTCTCTAGCCGAGTCCATTTTCTGCGCACTTGTAAAGTGGACAAATATTCCTGTTTCCATCTCTTCCAAAAGGTATCAGCAAGACATTGGACATGTTTCCATTGTTTACCTTGGAGATCACCCATCTTGAATTGACCAGAAGGAGCTGATACTGTGCTTGACTTTTGAGTAAGCAACATGGCCGGAGTGAGGATTGTTGGCATCTCAGGATCATTGGATACAGGGACCAGAGGTCTGGCATTCATGATCGCCATGACTTCAGCCATGAGAGTGCTCAAAACCTCGTGTGTGAGATGAGTGTGTCCTGTCTGAAGTAACAAGGCATCCAGAATGCGTCTGGCTACACCGATAAGTCTCTCCCATGAACCACCCATGTGTGATGAATGTGGTGGGTTAAAAATCCATGTGCATCCTTTGCTTTGGAGATAGGATTCAATCACTGCCTCCTTAGAGATGATGTTCAGTTCTCTGCATGCACCCACGAAGTTGGTTCCCCTATCGGATCGGAGAAGTTTGGCAGGACCACGGATAGCAAAAAACCTCCTCAGAGCATTGATAAAGCTATCTGTTGACATGGATTCCACCAGCTCTATGTGCACAGCTCTGGTTGACATACAGGTGAAAAGGACTGCCCACCGTTTACTATTAGCACTTCCTCCTCTTGTGCGACGTGTACTGATGGTCCATGGTCCAAAAATATCAAGGCCCACATTTGTGAATGGAGGTTCAGGTGTAAGTCTGTCTCTTGGCAGATCTGCCATTTTCTGTTTTTGTAGATGTCCACGTAGTTTGCGGCAGATAACACATTTATGGATTACAGAAGACACCAGACGCTTGGCTCCAATAATCCAATAACCAGCAGCTCGAAGAGCTCCCTCTGTTATGTGGCGACCTTGGTGAGCCACCTCTTTATGAAAAAATCTCACAAGTAATGTGGCAATGTGGCATGTTCGGGGAATGATCAGTGGATGTTTCTCTTCGTTTGACATCTCTGCAGACGAAATACGACCTCCAACTCTCAGCAAATCATTACTGTCTTTCACAGGGCTAAGTTTCTGAAGTGGGCTTTGTTTAGGAAGTGTCGCTCCTTTCTCAAGACATTTAAGCTCTTCTTTGAAAGCCTCTTGTTGGATGTCATGAATGATTAGAATTTCAGCCTTTTTAAGCTCCACCGTACTGGGAATTTTGGCAAAACGTTTCCCTGTTTCGCGTTCTGCATCCTCATGATTCTTCTTAAAGGAGACAGCGACACTCATGAGTCTGGCAATAGTGTTACAGAGTCTTGTCCAATCTGAGAATCGCTCAAATCGATGTGAACCTAGCTGACCTGATGAGGTGCGAGTAGTCAGGACTGTCACAATGGGTCTAATTTCAACATCAGTTTCAGGCTCCACCAGATTGAAGTTGTTGGTTTCGGGGGGCTTTTCTGCAGAATCTGATTTCAAAAAACTGGGACCTGTAAACCAGTTGGTCTGTTGTAAGTACTCTGCTGCAGTAAACCGGGTGGCATGGTCTGCAGGGTTCTGATTTGTGGAAACATAATGCCACTGGTTTGGACAAGAAGATTGCCTTATTCTTGCCACTCTGTTGGACACATATACATAAAATCTTCTTGAAGAATTATGGATGTAGCCAAGTACAATCTTGCTGTCTGTAAAAAATTTAACTGCATCCACACTGATGTCCATTTCTTCTTGGATGACTTCGTACATCTGTACAGCCAACACAGCAGCACAAAGTTCAAGGCGTGGAATAGTGTGTGCAGGCTTTGGAGCCAGCTTGGACTTACCCATGACAAAGCCAACATGGTATGTTCCATCGACGTCAACCGCTCTCATGTAGGCTACAGCTCCTATCGCGAGTGTAGATGCATCTGAAAAAATGCATAACTCTTTCCTTAGCAAGAATGTGGGTGAAATGGGAAAATAGCTCCTCCTAATGTGAAGGTCCTCCAGGGCTTTCAGAGAGTTCTTCCATGTGTTCCATTCTGCTTCTTTCTCAGAAGGTAGTGGAGAATCCCACTCATCTTGATGTGATGAAAGTTCACGCAGAAGTGCTTTCCCTTGCATTATTATTGGGGCCACAAATCCCAAGGGGTCAAAGAGACTATTTACTGTAGACAGAATGCCTCTCTTGGTGAATGGTTTTGTTTCACTTGAAACCTGGAATGTGAAGCTGTCAGTTTCTAAATTCCAAGAAAGTCCGAGGCTGCGCTGGAGAGGGAGTGGATCTGCACCAAGCTCCAACTCCTTCAGATCACTTGCTCGATCTTCTTTAGGTAAGGCTTCCATTACCTGCCTGCTGTTCGATGCTACTTTGTGCAGCCTTATATTGGATTCTGCAAGCATCTGTTTCGTTCTTTTCAGGAGGTCAACTGCTTCGTCAGTTGTGGTAACTGAAATTAGTCCATCGTCAACATAAAACTGTCTCTCCACAAACTGTCTTGCATCAGAACCATGTTCATTCTCACCCTTTTTAGCAGCCCTTCTCATGCAGTATATAGCAACGGCAGGTGATGGTGTGTTTCCAAACACGTGGACCTTCATTCTGTACTCTGCAATGTTTTTGTCAAGGTTGTTGTCTTCATACCAGAGGAAACGGAGATAATCTCTATGATCCTCTCTGACAAGAAAACAGTAGAACATCTGCTGTATATCTGCTGTGACAGCTACCAGTTCTCTTCGAAACCTTAAAAGAACTCCTATCAGAGTGTTGTTCAAATCTGGCCCCTTCAGAAGTACATCATTCAAAGACACTCCTTCATATGCAGCACTTGAGTCAAACACCACCCTGATCTGTCCTGGTTTTTTTGGGTGGTAGACACCAAAAGTTGGAAGATACCAGTGTTCTTTACCTTCTTCTAAAGGCGGCGCTAGTTCAGCTTGATCTTTATCAAGCATTTTTTGGATGAACTCCTTGAAGTGTTCTTTCATTTCTGGCTTTTTCTCCAGAGTTTTTCTGAGTGAGCCAAGGCGCTTCATAGCATGTTCTCGGTTACTTGTAAGAAGCTGTCTTGGAGAATAAAATGGTAAAGGGGCTACCCAGCTGTGATCCTCATTTTGATAGACTTCTTTATCCATAATTTTCAGAAAAGCTTTGTCGTTTACGGACAGTCCTGATTTGTTATCGTCCTTGGATCTTTCAAATACTGAGTGTTCTTGATTCTCTGAGTACATAGGTTGAATGTCTCCACGTGCAAGGGGATGGATCTGATGTTGTTGTGGGGTGCCATAATTTTCCCTTATTTGGAAGCTGTTTGGACATGGACTGAGGAAGGATGTGCGCCCATTCTGCAGCACGTTTGCCTTAAAGGCACTGACCTTTGTAGATCCATGGAAACTTCCCACACAAACATCACCCACTACAACCCAACCCAAATCAAGTCGCTGTGCATATGGAGCATCATGTGTTGGCTTTAACTTCAAACAAGTCAAAAAACTCTGTCTTTGCGAGCGATTTATTGCTTTGCTCATCAAGAACAGCATACATTTTAACTGCTTTGTCTTCTCTTCCTACAGGGTATGCTTTAACTAAACAAATCTTAGCACATGAACGTGAGCCATCTAAGTTATTGCAAACCTCTGTGCACTTTGATGTGATGGGTGTGTTTTCACCTGGCTCGCCACTGTCCTCTTTGTCAGAACCACAGGTCTCGGTTGTAGCTGAGGGAGTATTTGGATGTAAAGCTGTTATGTGTGTCTCACTTTGACACTCAAAACATTTAATGGTTGCTTTGCAATCCTTTGCCATGTGCTGAGTTGATCCGCAACATCTGTAGCAGATATAATTATCTTTAAGATAAGCCCTGCGTTCTCCGATGGGTTTGTTCCTAAAGGTTCTGCACTTTTGGAGTGGATGAGGCTTTTTGTGAATTGGACATTCCCGAGCTGGATCTATGACCTTTTTCTTTGATGAAAGAGTACTGCAATCTGCAGACTTTGAAGGAATTTCTGTTTTGTGTGTTGACACTGAAAAACTGCTGTTGAACCTGGTCTTCTTATCTGACTTTGAGAACATGTAGCTGTTTGAGGTGGTAAGCACAAAGCTAGGGTCATTTCTCACCTTAGCCTGTTTTCTAACAAACTGAGAGAAGAAAGAAAATGGAGGAAATGGCACTTCATAGTCCTCTTTGTACTTGGATGCTTGAGTTATCCATTTTTCTTGTAAGCTGTGAGGTAACTTTTCCACAATGGGATTTACGCCACGAGCTGTGTCTAGATAAGTAAGGCCTGGCAAGTATCCTTCTACTTTTGCACATTCTAGCTCAAGTAGAATGTCACCAAGTTCTCGTAGCTTGTCGTTGTCTTTGTTTGTTAGCTTTGGAAAGCTTTCTAATTTCTTAAACAGTGCATTTTCTATAACCTCTGGCATTCCATAGCATTCCTCTAAACGTTGCCACACCATGTTGAGGCCTGCTGCGGGATTAAGAACATGCACAGAACGTATTCTCATTGCTTGTTGCGATGAATCTAGTCCCAGCCATTTAACCATCAAGTCCAGTTCCTCTCTGGGTGACAAGTTCAAGTCCTGCGTGGCGCCACGAAAGGATGCTTTCCATGACCAATAGTGTTCAGGACGGTCGTCAAATTTTAAAAGACCTGAACTGACAAACTCACGTCTCATCAAGTACTTTGCAAGATCATGTGCTCCTTGTGGCTCTGGCACAAATCCTCTGTCAGATTGATGAGGTTGCTGAGTTCTGTCCAAGTGTGTGAGCGGTTGATCCCACTTGCTTGGTTTTTCACGTTTGAACTCAATTTTTTCTAATTTTGGATATCTGTATCTTTGGCGTGTGATGGTTGCTTCGGTAGAATCTGGACCTCGTTCCGGTGGCAAAGTGTCACGAAATAGCTCAGCATGTTGCTCGATATAGTTGCTAGTCTGTTCAATAGGACTGAGAGGTTCTTCTGTGGTGTGTAATTCTTTTAGCTTCTCCCCGCTTTCAATCTCTTCCTCTTCATAAGCCGTAGCTTCAGCCTCAGCAGCGGCAGCAACTCTCTGGCTTTGAAGAATGTGGAGACTGGCTTCAAGGTCCGCTTTCTGCTTCAACACACTCGCTTCAAGGTCAGCCTTTTGTTTAATTACACTAGCTTCCTTTTCAGCATACGCCAGTTGAGCCTGAGCAGCTTTAGCTTTGGCCCGTGCTTTAACTGCTGACGAAGCAGTTGATACTGACGTCCTGCTTGACCGTTGTGAAGAACGAGATGATCTTTTGGATGACTGCGATGCAACGTCACTTACTTGCAGAGGTGATTTTCTCTCAGCTTGCAGATTAGCATCTGTTTCTTGCTCTGTCGATTTTGGTCGATCCATGGTGTCCTTAGCGTAGTCCTTCGTATATTTCTTGCCAGAACGTAGACTCATGACGAGTTTGAACCCGCTGCGTAATTGTCTTTTTACTATGCTGCCCTCACGATGTGTTGCTCTTACAAAGCTAGACAGCTAGCTAACACTTGGCTTGAAAATAATCCAGTCCTTAGTAGTTTTCTTGTTTTATTTTGCAACTCTTTGGCTGGTTTGTTTTCTTTTCTTTACTTTTCTTTGTAAAACTATAACAAGACACAAAAGTATACATCAAATACAGATACAGAAAACAACTAGGCTACAGCAAACAAATAACTCCCAACTCAAACCAACTAGCTAACGATGTAGCTCTAAATACTGTTTGAGAAACGTAAACTTTCCCACAAAATATTCCACAATACCAGAATGACAACAGATGAAATGAACTTACAGACAAATAGTGTCCAAGGAACAAACGTGTCCAAAGTCGTCTGAAGGGCTAGTGAAAACAGCAACCGTGCAGCTGGAAGAGCTCTGCTTGACTGCCCAAAATTCCACATGCAAACTGTGTCCACTAGATGTCAGCAAAGCTCCAAATTTTAACCAACAATTTCCCATGCAATTCTTAACAAACATAATGACAGAGTCAGCACAACGCTTCTGACGCTGTCTGTGGTTCAAGAGTGGCTTGACACAAGGAATGCGACAGCAGAAACCCATGTCTTTCATACGTCTGTGTGTGGTGGTTCTTGAAGCACTCACTCCAGCTGCAGTCCACTCTTTGTGAATCTCCCCCACATTTTTGAATGGGTTTTGTTTCACAATCCTCTCCAGGGTGCGGTTATCTCTCTTGCTTGTACACTTTTTTCGACCACATCTTTTCCTTCCCTTCGCCTCTCTATTAATGTGCTTGGACACTGAGCTCTGTGAACAGCCAGCCTCTTTAGCGATGACCTTTTGTGTCTTGCCCTCCTTGTGCAAGGTGTCGATGGTCGTCTTTTGGACAACTGTCAAGTCAGCAGTCTTCCCCATGATTGTGTAGCCTATAGAACTAGACTGAAAGACCATTTAAAGGCTTTTGCAGGTGGTTTGAGTTAATTAGCTGATTAGAGTGTGGCACCAGGGGCCATCAATTTTGAACCTTTTCACAATATTCTAATTTTCTGATATGATGAATTTGAGATTTTCATTTGTTGTCATTTGTAATCTTTAAAATTAAACAAAATAAACATCTGAAATATATGAGTTTGTATGTAATGTATGAATATAATATACAAGTTTCACTTTTTAAATGGAATTACTGAAATCAATCTACTTTTTCATGATATTCTAATTTTATGACCAGCACCTGTACATACACGTACGCAATCACTTACTTTTGTTGCAGGTTGGGCTGGCGCCGTTCATCGTGGGTGCACATGGTCCGGTTTTCATTTAACATTTATTCTAACCTGCTTATTTTCAGCCAAGTATATTTTCTGCATCTATTTTCAAACAGGTTTATTTCCGGATTGTAGGGCGCCGGGAGGGAGTCACGTGATGATGTAGTGATGTCATCAGAACGTACAGAGCGTGTTGTATTAAATTGAGTGTTGTATTTTTGATTACAAGTTTATTTTTTTTATTTTTTTTCTCTCTTTAGCATGGTGTTGTTATTATTATTGTCATCATTATCAAAATCATTATTTTTGTTTACTTAGTGAATTAGAAGTAATTGTTTAGTTTTTATTTTTATTTTATTTTTATTTATTTTTTTTTTCTGTGGGTGGAGCCTATAGCTTTAAAAGCAGGCCTCTGTTCCACAGGGAGTCAGTCTGTGGCTGGACTCCTGAGATGTCACACTGAAGGTGATGGATTCTGATTTTTTTGAAGGTACTGCTCTTTTTCTGATTTTAACCTGCCTTGGATGTCCATGTTAATATTTTTGCACCAACCGTCTTTGTTCACCAGAAGAAAAAATCACTGAATAAAAAACAATCACTAAACTTATCTCCGGCATTGGCCAGTCATTTATGTGTTTGACCAAGTCATAATAGAACCCCGTCATTACCCCTGATATATAATCCGAATAGTCTACATGAAACTTCAAAGTGTTACCTTTAATTTGAAACCTGGATTATGCTTCTACACCAAGAGGTTGCCACACAATAAGCCTTTTTTGTCAGTATTTCATATTTTATTATAACAATAATATTCATATTATAAAAGTATGTATGTAAATATAAATAAATTAGGACTGTGAAATAATTAATCACACCCAAATAAAAGTGTTTTTTATATATATATGTGTATATGTATATATATATATATATATATATATATATATATATATATATATATATATGTATATATATATATGTATATATGTATATATATATATATATATATATATATATATATATATATATATATATATATATAAATGTGTATATATATATATAAATATGTATATATACATATTTATATATATATATACATATTTATATATATATATATATATACACACATATTTATATATATATATATATATATATATATATATATATATATATATATACACATATTTATATATATATTGATATCTATAGATATATCTATATATCATGTTGCCATTCAGTACACTGAGTTTTAATAGCATATATTGATTTAACATAAATACCTTGTGCATGTGTATATTTATTGCACCTGTATGTTCTATTCAATGTTCTTTTCATATGAAATTCCATGGTTATAATTATTCATAAGTGTGCAGTATCATAACTACATGTCTGACTTTTGTTTAACAAACCAAACAGTTTGAGAATCGTTAGACAATTGAGGAAGTTATGGTTATTTCAGTACATGCGCCTTTAAAACACAATGTTACGAATGAGCGAGCTGCCTGTGGCAAGATGGCCGCCACGTGCGGACGTCGACCCCCATTTGCCAGCAGCTCGGACCAGACATCTAGCCTTTATTATGGATATCTATGGATCAACCTGCCCACAGGTGCGTTGTGCCTTTCAAAAGTTGATGGCAAGTTACTTGTTTCCCAAAACTCAACATTTCCACCAATACTCACAGACACAAATCAGAATACTGTTGTAACTGCAGACTTGTTAATTTCCAGCTCTGGTAAACCTTCTGGTTAACCACATACTGATGTTTCTTTGTTAGAATACTTGCAGTTAGGAAGCCAATTTGCAATCAGTATTGTCAAATGAAATACAACATCATCTTAACATTAACGCATATCACACTAAACAATTAATTTTGAAACAACATAAAAACTAACAGACCAGTCTTAGGAATTTGAACAAAACAACTCAGTTCAAAATTACAGCTTTTCTTTGGCAGTTATCTAATTAAGTAATGATACCCCCAAACTAGCTCCAAGAACTTATATCCTCCTTAGATGTATTTTCGAACAGTTCATTCATCATCATTAACATTTTCTGGGGTTGGGGTCAGCTACCTGTGCAGAAGGCATTTATAGTTTCACAGATAATCTGTATTGGGCTCAGATTTTTCTCGTGCCTAGATGGTTCTGAGCTTGTCTTATGGTCGTCCTGGTAACCTGATTTTCGGCACTTTGGTGTCTCTGGCCTGGTAGAGGTCCTGTTCCCGCAGTTGGATGGATTGAGTGTTAGGTGTGTTTGACACCTGCTCTTTGGTGGCTGGCATGCTTTGCTTGGCCTAGTATGGCAGACTGCCCAGGCTACAGTTACCTGGCGGCCTTGAGTAAGAGATGTCCTTAAGGATGTAAGGCTCTCTTCTGGGTCTGCCTTGGGCACTGTCATGGTTTTTGGTTCTGTTTGTCAACACACCTGAGTGAAGTTGGCTCCCCCACCTCCTTCAAATCAGACAAAATTAGTGTCAAACGTTTGTGCTATGTTTGTGCTGGTTTGTGCAGCAAAAATTTTCGTTTGTGCCATTATCGTTTTAAAGATATAAAGAAATATTTCTAGAGGTCATCGAAAGGTCAACCAGCCCCCCCACCTTCTTCAAATCAGATGAAATGGGTGTCAATTAACTTAGCTCCATTTGTGCTGGTTTGTGCAGCAAAAATTTTCTAGAGGTCATTAAAGGTCAACCAGACCCCCCCACTTTCTTCAAATTAGACAAAATTGGTGTCAAACGTTTGTGCTATGTTTGTGCTGGTTTGTGCAGCAAAAAAATTCATTTGTGACGCTATCATTTTTTACAGTTTAAAATGATATAATCATAGGTTAGCAACTTATAATTTATATGAAATTCAGAGTTTCAGAATTAACAAATGTTCACTGACCTTTGATGGCTTCCACAAACAATTATTAATATCATTAAAATGATAGCAGTACAAAAAATTTAGATATTTTAAAATATGCATTTTTAATATATATTAATATTTATTTAAAATATTTCATATTTAAAATTAATTCTAAAATTTTCATTTGTACTGCTATCATTTCAATGATATTAATAATATTTTGTAGAGGTCATCAAAGGTCAGTTAACATCTGTTTTTGCTGCACAAACCAGCACAAATGGAGCCGAGTTAATTGACACCCATTTCGTCTGGTTCGAAGAAGGTAAGGGGCGGTTGACCTTTAATGACCTCTAGAAACATCTCTTTATACCTTTAAAATGGTAGCGGCACAAACGAAAAATTTTGCTGCACAAACGTAGCACAAATGTTTGACACTAATTTTGTCTGATTTGAAGCAGGTGGGGGGGCCAACTTTACTCAGGTTGTCAACACTGCTCTTTGTGCCGTTTGTTTTCAAATGATTTCCTGTTGTCTGTTTGGATCTTTCTGAACATGTGCAGCAAATAGACTGAACCAACCAAGGGAGGCCCCATGAGATACACTTAAAGCTACAGTGTGTAATTTTCAGCGACATCTAACGTCCAGACTGCAGGCCGCAGCAACATGAACATCTCCCCCCCACCGCTTCTCCCCCCCAACAGTACGGCGAGCGTTACGGGACAAAGTGTCTTCAACAACGTCCGCATCACCTACCACGAGGTTTGTTTACATAGATAATTTTACTGATAGTATTCTCAGGCATAATACTGCCATCTATTGTTCAGTACCGTCTCAGTTCATCTCTCTCAACTTGCCGTAGTTACTTTCGAGCGTAATGGGCGATCTCGCAATCGCTAGTTTGTTGGCTCTGCGCTGCCGTAGCGCAAAGATGTCTGCCTCCATGGCTGCGAGACCCGCTCCTATGTAATTATAAATAACGAATTCTAAGGCAACGCAAATATTAAGGTTAAGAGGCTGAGCTCGTAGATGATGATAAATAACATAGTTATGTATAATATATTACATTTCTGACTGTATATCCCTGTAATTATTACACACTGTAGCTTTATTATAAGGATTCTGATGGTATTTTAACAAAAGGATTTTTATCAAAAACATTAATGATATTACACATTAATGTATACAAATAAGTAATAGCTGTATTACCATACATGAAAAAGGGGTTTTATGGAACTTGGGGCCCCAGGGAACTGCCTAGTTTTGCCTAACTGTAAATCTGCCCCTGATGCTGATAATCATTTTCTTAAGACAATAGCTGAAATTATTATGAGCCATAATGGATTTAAAGTACAGACGCAATTGTTTGCTGCTTCTAAATATGCCTCTCAGGTGTTTTGCATATGGCAGCCTGACACCA